ATACCAATATGTTGGAGGGGTTGGCTAAAGACGCAATGTACCAAAGAGGTGAATCCTTTTCGTGCACACAGAGGGCAGGCCCACTGCCGGAAAAGTGCACCACTTACGTTACGAAGTGTGCAACAAGGAAGCTAGCGGTTTGTGAAAGACTGATGTTCCTTATGTTTCGGCCCTTTGTTAGATACGCCATTCGGCTACGCGATAAGCGTTGATCACCTCATGGTCACTGAGAAAGTGGTCGGCGATTCTGACTGAGATCGGTGAAGCATCCTTCGAGATGATATCCGACTCACCATTTGAAGACATCTTGAAAGGGACCTCATCGGCTACAAAAAGTCCCCTGAACACTCCCTTGATGAGAACTCTTGGAAGGGCATCGCGTCCCACATGGTCGTATAGCGTAAGGCATCGCGTGCGGCGACATAAGGAGCATTGAGAAATCACAAACCACTGGCTTCTTTGCTGCGTACTTTCGAGTTTCGGGAGTGAGTAAGACGGACAAGACAATTGTAATTTGCCGCACTGTCGCGCGCGACACATCGGATGGCGATGCGCGGCAAATTTTTGATGTGCATTAGTTTGCCGATTAGAGCAACGTAACTCGTGTGGACATCACATGCAGGTGATATCGACTTTTCCCGTATCCTTAATATTCAAATTTGAACGGCCAAACTCCTCTATCGCGGGTGCGGCTTCGCTCGCCAGGTCCACCAGCACGGCATATTACGATTGTCTTGTCACACAGGCCAGAAGAGGTACCTTCTACGGCTGTGATCCAACTCACCTGTGCACGAAAATGATCCACCTCACGAGGTAATCGTACAGCGATTACTTCTTTGGGATGAAAGTAAGTTGAGAAGAAGTTGTGAAGAAACTTACTGCCTCAATATAGTGCTTCTTACATAAGTACCTCCATCCATGGAGAACCTCTTCACGCAACTTCTTAGTTGTATGTACATCTATTTTGAAGTCCATTACCAAGCATGCAATTACGATTAAGATATCGTATAATGACGCTTCACGACATTCCTCTGCTGGACGTGAAATGCCACACACTGCGCAGAAATGATTTTCTGGGCGTTTCAACTTCTTGCCGCTGATTTGATCCTCTGATATGTCAGCACTATAAAAGGGAAAGAATACGATCTTTCCACTGAGTCAGTAGGAACAGGAGAAATTACCTCGAAAGTTTGCGCTTACGACTTGCGAGATCGGATCCTGATTCATCATCTGAAAGAGATGACTGGAAAAGAAGCAAAAGGATTCAGTTTCAAGACAATTTCTCTCTAGCACAGACCAACACCTCTACACATTCTTTCTCACTTCATTTTTCAGCGACAAATAGTCCGCCCTCCGAGGATGCACTTTTAGAAGCGAAATCTATGGTCTAAACTGCGGAATGTGAAGGCGTGGAGGACAGACAGAGTTCAGTCCTTCACTTGATCTCCCGCGCCGGGTAGTTGACCTGCCCCCTCTTTGCTGGCGTCATTTCAAGAGATTCTACAGACTACAATGAAATTTCTTCCAAAAACCAAAAATACCACTTCAATGGAAGCAAACATACGTGCTGCTGCAAACCGGCTTCATTATGATCATCGCAAAGGAACCTAGTTTTCATGGTCTGCTATACTTTTACACTAATGTTTTTCAAACATTTTCAATGGTAC